CCACCCCTGGTGATGGATTTTACCGCCTGTGTTGTTATTCCAGTCGCCCTCATAATAGTTGCTTGCGACAGCACACACTGTTGAGCTGAGAAAACAAACGTTTAAGATTAGAGCTTTGTCATTGTCTAACTATATTTAGCCCTAACATAATGATGCTAAATGATTCTGTGTGTATAGCGCTCTACAATTCATTATGCATTGGTTCTTGTTTTGTATTTTTGCATATTTAATTTTAGGTGCTTGGTTTATTATAATGTTTGGGGTAGATTTATAGTTACAACACTAGCATAAAACAATGTGTTAACGCGAATAACTATGCTTATTATTTAATTAACTAATAATACATTTTAATTTTGATATTGGTAATATACACAGTTTAAAAGCTAGTAATGCATACATATTTCTGTTATGTCTAGGTTTAATATCACGTACCGTTGACATTGTTCTTGATATAAATCACAAATAACACGACGAATAGTGTATACATTCTCTTTTGAGCGAGTAAGTCTGTAACAAACAAAAGCTGCATAATTGTGATTATGGTTACAGATAAATACAATGTTTAAAGCACCATTGAAATTTCTGAAGATTTCGTTATTTATATTATATGAAAGAAACATCACCACAAGGAAAATAATGATAAACAATAAGTGTATTTAAAATTTATTTTCTAACTATTTTACTTAAAAAAGACATTGTATGAGTGTCGCCCACTTCCTCTGAGTCTATAGCATACTTTTATAAAATTTAACAAGGAATATATCTTTTCAAATCTTTGGCTTAGTTTATCGGCTCACCAAAGAATTTGGAAACCTTTAAAGGTTCTAAAATTATTCTTTTAGCTGAGTTGTCAGTGGATTAATGTATGCTCCTTGAACCATAATAATTTAGACATGTGTTGAATTTGAAATTTGGTATTTCTTCTTGCCTGGACTTTATCTCCCCCCCCCCCTACAAATTTAAACCTTTAAGCTTTATCCAGAATCCACAACACCGCTCTAATATTACAAATCATATAATAAGCCCTCAAACCCTACCCGGTGGTATCCATTTTTTTACTTTACTTACGACTTGATTGCAATGTGCTAAGCGAAGTCCCAGTCAAAATATCGTTTGAGATGTTTAAGAAAAATGTATATGTAAAGTATAAAAAACATACTTCAAAAGTAGAAAAATAAATACATTTAGAGATGATAAGGTTCAATGTAAGAAAAGAAAATATTGTAATTAAAATAACTTACACTACCTGACTATACATAACAGAAAGACATTGTCTACTATGATCATGCTTCCCTAGCTATGTGCATCTTATTAATGTAATAGTATAATGTATAGTATAATATAATATATAATATAATATAATAATGTATAGTATAATATCTAAAATGTTGGTAAATGGAATTCCCACTATTATAATGTACTTTGAGAACCACTTAAAGGAGAAATCTAGTGACTTCTTTTAAAAACCAGTAGCCTGATCTTAAATAGCCTTTATTGTAGGCCGTTACTGACCAATATCGCACCAAAATTTAGTCAGTCGGATCAGCTCGATGGTGGATAGAATGGACATTAGGATTAAGATAATGTCCGATTGGTATAATGCTTCTATTTCGATCTATGAAATGACATATAATTTTTTTTTTATAAATGCATAAATGCATACGTGTAACATGAGTTAAGTTAGAAACGCTACAATAAATAACAGCGTAGTTGGCTGTCACTAATGTAAGCTAGGCAAGGCCAAGCCAAAACCAAACCGAGCAATTATGTAACTGTTCGATGTAAACAAGATGTTGCTATCAAACCTTATATGAAAATACGCAATTAGTTTCAGTGAAATAGAATGTGACTGTCAACGCGATTACTTAATGTAAACAGGTTGTTTGAAACCAACGCCATAGACACATATTGACAAACTAATTCTAATATATAAAAGACCATGTGTGCACTTCTCTCTGTCCGCAATATTTTTGGCAATATTTTTTTTGAAGTAGAGTTCACCCGTATCTGGGTATATGAAACATAACTAAATTACCTAGAGTTACACAGTAAATTTTATTGTTGTCTCTTTTAGAATCTGGACTGTAAGCAAACAAATTTAAAAAGCCAAAAATTCTTGCATTTGTTCTACTTAAAAGCGAATTGATCTGTAATTCCTGTTGTTATAAAAGAATCTTACTGTCGCATCGCTTTAAAAAAAATATGCCAATAAATTTAAAAGTCAATTGTATCTAACACAATCACATACGCTAACACTAATGCAAACATAAACACAAGCTAACGCATACACAAACGCAAAAACAAACGCAAATACAAATACAAACGCAAATCTACACGCAAACAATAATACAGAACATACAAACAAACTTAATTGCAAACATAAACGCATAATTCTCACATTATTGCCCGGGGTGCCAAACAGCACTCTGTGGGGGCGCCGGCAGAACTGCCTGATTAAACAAATAGTACCCCATCACATCTATTAAACTCACTAAACCGA